TTGTGGAGGGTGGTCCTTGGACCTCTCCACAGAACAACTTTCTGGAGCGTGTAGACAAAATCTCTTAACTTTTCTGTAGAAGAAATATAGTGGCGAGTAAGTGCAACCAGGCCTTGAGTTCGACACGATTCTCATTTTTTTCACTCTCCACACATCCGCCACAAATTGTGACGGATGGCGAGTAGTACCGCGCACACGCTCTATATTTGGAATAAGAGCCTCACTCTAAGACAAAAATTATGGGCGTATTTTTCCATGTTATAGGGGGGAGGATTCATTGGCATTTTGAGAGGTGTTAGGGTACCAGATCTCTTGTGCCCGAGGGTGATCCCCCCCAAGTACAGCCCGATGCGCTGCCCCCTTGCACAGCACCATCTTGGCCGGGCTTCGTTACTCCGCACCGCCGAGCTTGACAGAAGAACAATGGACAAGCTCCCACGTCCAAAAGGAGTCGAAAGGACGGGAGCACATGTTTGCTGAGTTGATTGGAAGCCTTTTCAAAACTGAACGTTGGACCCGGATTCCAGCATCTGTTCCAAAAAAGCGGAGGGCGTCGGTCCATTGCACAACACTCTAATTAGGGCACACTCACACGAGTACTTTTTCTACTATGCCGTGAGATTCATCCAGGTTTGGCCGTAACTGCGGTCAGGTACGTTTATGAAAGTGCTGGTCTGAATGTGCCCTGAATGTATCTAGAACCTAGACGGCGTAGTGGTTCCAATACATTCAAGATGTTCTATCTGTCCAACTGTATCTGCTCCCCGCAACGTCCGGTGTGGAATGTTGAGTAGTTGAGCCAGGCCCTGAATCTGGGCGAGGGCCCAGGTAAATCAACCTGACCCCCCCCCACAAAAAAAAAAGGAGGAAAATTGGCATCTGTACTCCATTCAAACCATTCCGTATGTTCCCCCGCTTGAAAAACAAATATGCGGTTTGTTTTCGGCCACATCTTTCATGGGTAGGGCGTACTTGACCAAGATGGCTGGCGGCGCTAGCCAAAAGGCGCCCCCCCACGGTTTGTTTGTTTTTGGCTTGCAGGGCGTTCCCAGCCCCGGAGAAAAGTGCTTCCGAAGTACTGGTGGTGAACTGCATCCATACCCAGTCCCAGGGCCCAACCTGCACTGATACACGGGCTGTTGTCGAACACCCACGACTGAGGTGGACCCAAATTGCAGTTATAACCAACTGCTTCAATGATCAAATTATGGATATATCCAGGCAAAGTATGGTCATACCCGGGACTGACGTGCACTCTCCATACTGCAGTTATGCCCAAGTACCAGGTGGCCGAAATTATCCTCGGTTGGGCCACAACAGTCCCATGGGTTATTTACTGTTATACCCAGGTGCCCGCCTACTACAGTCTTTCCCCAATACAACAAACCCTCATTTTGACTCTGTCCGGCCGAAAACATACCTTGTATATCCAGGGTGCACTATGTTTGGGGGAAGACGGTAGCAAAGAGAGTGAGGTGCATTGTCTGAGTTCCAAATCTTATGAGTCGCAGAGCTCACACATGGGAGATAACCATAGATGATGAAGTGATAAGAGGACGGCGAAATGTGGGGGAAACAGAAGAGAAAGAAGAGAGATAGAGAGCCTGAATAGAACAAGTCAAAATAATAATTCTCTCTCTCTCATCCCACAATCGTCACCAAGTCTCTAAACTCTCTCTGCTCTCTCTCTCTCTCTCTCTCTCTCTCTCTCTCTCTCTCTCTCTCTCTCTCTCTCTCTCTCTCTCTCTCTCTCNCCCCCCCCCCCCCCCCCCCCCAGATACTGACTGATGACAGATGTCTTGAAAACGACGGTTTGCGGAGTGCAGCCTGGCAATGGCCGGTATTAGCCCCCAAGCACTGGCGCGTAGGTATGTTCCTCTCTGCCCAAGGCCACTTCAGACCTCAGTCTTGCCAGCCTCCCATCTTATCTCTTCTCTGCTGATGCACAGCACTGCTCTCCAGCAGCCTGTCACGCAAGTGGGAGCACTAGCAAAACGTCAATCTGGGTGATGCTCTTATCATCCCCAGATTGCGGGCTTTGCCACTGCGTTGTTTCAGAAATAATAATAAAACAAAATCCCACCCTCCCCTCCTAGGCCAGTTGGGCCTCTTCAATTGCCACGAGGGGTACCGTAGCAAATCTAATGCCTGATGCGCTTTCTGGTACCAGATCCTCCTCTTTGGTTGCTCTCACCATGTTGGGTGCTACCGTCTTCCCCCGAACACAACGCACCCTCATTTTGGCTGTATCTGGCCAGCTAGGGTGCGTTATGTTCGGGGGAAGATGGTAGTCTTGGTGGTGCCTTCTGCCAGCCAACGTTGCCAAACACATTTTCGGCTCACCTCAGGGTTTTTTTTTTTTTTTTGAGGGAACAACTTATATGTAGGTAGCAGAGAAGGAAAGTGGGAAAGACATGGAACAAAGTCCAACAAACAAGGCAAAAATGGATCACAATTGCAACAAGTGACAAGTACCAGGCTTTACTTTTTAAGAGGAATACAAGAACTTGCAGCTGAATGTGATTGCAGCGGCGATCTACCGCCCATCCGTTTGTCACTTTTGTGAAGCAGAATGAATCACAAAAAAATGTCATTTGGGCATTTAGCTGCAGCCAGACCATACAAAAGCTTTACTATACGTTTCATCAGAATATACCAAGAAAATGAAATGAAAAATCCATGCATAGTATTTCAGACACTAATCATAAAAGATATGAAAAAAGCGGTTCAATAAGTGCATTGACTATCACCTCAACTGGTCAAATGCACGCTTCTCCATCATGCTCACTATTAGACCCATGATTGCCCTATTCCTCAGTCCGTCCTTGTCATCATCCTCTGGAATAATTTGGTATAGTACCTGCATTGCAACAAACAGAGAAGAGAGTGAGAGGGGTGAACATCAAGTTAATCCATGTTTGTTTGTTTGATTGTTTCCCTGTTTGCTTGTTTCCCTCTGAGGCTTTCTTAAAGTTAGGGTCTCGCCACACAACTCCCGAAATCCATGAGTTTGAGAGTAGCAGTGTCACCACACTTGCTCTCGAATTCCTCACACAAAAAGGAAATCGAGAGTTGTCAGAACATAAAAAAAGGACAGCCCGTTCATGAGCACTGTCGAACTCCATGGGAGCGCCCGCCTGTAACCCAACATTTTAGAGAGAGCTCAGCTGCACTACCGAGTTCAGTCCCAGAAGTCGAGACAGGGCGGAGGCGGACAAGACATCTCGTGTCAGTTTTGTCACGCTGCATGATGGAGATAATCTTGAGATAATCCTCTGGCGGGACCGAGGAGTTGGAGAGTGCAGTGCGGCTACGAGAACTCTCGGTTGTAATTTCTCGAATTCCGAAGTTCGAAAGTACTCGTGAACATTTTGCTGGATTTGAGAGTTGTGTGGCAAGGCCCTTGGTTCGTGCCTCTCCTTGTGCTCTATTCATTATGTGGACCTTAAGTTAATCCCTGTTTGGGCCTTCTCTACTACTCACCAAATGTGCAAAATGAGAATGGATCTTACACTAGAACATGGAAAAATACACTGTCATATTTTTTGTCTTTGGTGCATGTGGTGAGAAGTGGAGATAGGCCCTTTCTTAAGATTAGTTTATAACTTTATGTCTCTCCTTGCATATTTTTTCATTATACTGACAGGACTTTATGCCTCTTTCTCACTTTATTGAAAGGACTGCCCCTGCACAAAAAACTTGTGAGAAGATACAGAATTGGAAGCAGGGAGGGAGGAAGTCCAGAGCCATAGTCTTGAATTCTAAACTGAACAGCATAACCGCAGCACAAAAATGAAGTGGCGACTTGTTTTCTTTCTTTTTGCTCTAGGGAGATGTTTTAAACCACCAGTACCCCGCGCAGCTATTGATGCCAAGCCTAAATTCGCCCTTTGTGCCAAAGCAAAATGGACCGATGCAGGCCTGCTTTTCGCTGGCACCACCAGCCATTTCCGTCCGGTACCCCAACCCCGGGAAAGTGCGGCCGCATATTCGTTTTTCAAGCTGGGAAAGGTATTGGTGGTTAAATCCACTAAACGGGAGAAGGAGAACGTGGAAGTGATTCAAGCGAGGGCTGGCTCATGATAGATGCATAGATGGATGGATGGGTATGAGTGGATGTGTGCATGCACGGAAAGATGGATGAATGATTGGGTAGGTGGGTAGATAGCCAGGTAGATGCATGGAATGATGGATGGTATAGGTGAGTGGCTGAGTGGGTGAGTGGGTGAATGAATAGATGGATGGATGCAAGGGAGGAAGGAAGGAAGAATGGGAGGCTGGAGGGAGGGGAGAAAAGAAAGGGATGGATGGAGGGAGGGAGGGACTTCACTCTCGTTTGATTGATAATCCAGGATACTACAAACAGAATGATATATTATTGAGCCACGTGGGGTTGGGGAGAAGATAAGACGTATCGTGGAACAACTCAAAGGAGTAGCTCGACGTACATGACCTGATTTAGTGTGTATACAGAAAACCCACCTTACTAACTCCCCTGCTCATACCCAAGCACACAATATAGGATGGCTGTACCAAAAAGTGTGTGCTTATGCTCCACGGAGTGGCTCAGGTGGGGTTGCCATCTGGGTCCCCCCAAACTCAAGGGTGGAAATAGTTAAATTGGTGGTGGATAAAGAACAAGAGAGGTGGGTTTCGGGCTTTGATTATGTTAGAACTTGAAGTTATCTGTGTCACAGTGTCATCAATCTCTATGGAGTCTGGACCAAATGAGGTTCAGGAGAGGGTGTTTTTCTTCCAGGATAGCCGTTCCCAAATCCTTGAGGCGATTCCAATTATCATGGGTGGTGATTTCAATGCAGCACCAAACAAATGGTTAGATAGGTGGAGGATACCCTCTCCTTGCCTGCCGTATATGAAGGAGGATGTGTGTGCACACACACACACACACACACACACACACACACACACACACACACACACACACACACAATCAGTTTCATGTTTGTTTTCCTCTTGCTGTCTGTTCTTCCTCTATTTTTTATTAAGTATTTTTACTTGCCCAACTGAGCACCCTTAAGTAGTGCCAAACAGTAGGTGGTTCCTCGTTTGGAGTGCCTACTGCACTCTTATGGGGGCCTCTCAGTACGGGATGTCTGCGTTGCCTATGGGTGATGACAGATGCTCATCGGAGTGACTCCCTAGCTGAGTGGGTTGTGGGAACCAACAGTCTGCGGGGTTCAATCGTGGTGTGAGTAGGTCATGCGCTGCTTTGCTCTGTGTTGGATGTGTGGACTGCCTCATCTGCGCTCCACCGCCGCGTTGCTGCCTGTCCCGCTTGCTTCACATGTGGTTCTCTGCAAGTTGCTGTGTTCGCTGTTTGGTGTGGCCGTGTTGTCGGTGTTGCCTCCGCGCTTCTCCGCTGCCTTGCTTCCCATCCGCTGGCTGTGCCTTCCGTGTTTGCCGCTTGTGTGCCTTGTAGGTTGGTTGCCTTGTTGCTGGTGCCTTGTGTTCCGCTCCATGCTTGCCAAGCTGCTGGTCCGCTCGCCCTGTCGTCCCTTGCAGTGTGGTTGCCTTGCTTGTGTTGTCTTGTGCTTCACTACACGGTTTCCGCGCTGCATGTCCTGCGTGCCATGTCGCTCCTTGCAGTCATTTTTGGCATTGTGCAGCCGTGTTGCCTTTACTGTGTTGCCTGATGCTCCACAGGGTTGCTGCCCGCTGCTATGTTCCGCTTGGGGACAGTCTGCCTTCACCATGGGTCAGAGGGTTCATGACCCAAACCATCAAATATGGAGATCCTGCAGATTGTCGAGGGTTCAGCCTCCTGACGAGTCGGTGCATAAGCCGACGAAACAATCTTTCATTATCAGTTTTATTTTTTTCGGTCTTTCTATTTTTTGGACTTGTATATTTTTCTTGGTGGTTTGTATGTTTGTGTGGTTGTGCCCTGTTGTTTCGTGGCTAGTTGGTGTTCTTTTGGTTTCTCTGCCCTGTCCACCCAGTTGTTGCCTAGTGCTGGTTGTCTGCCCACCCGCCTCCCCTGTACCCTCCAGCCTTTGTTCCTTGCTGTCGCTGTTGTTTGTCTGTCCTCTTGCCTCACCCTTCCTCTCTCAACCTTCAATCTGAGTGTCAACCTTGATGTGTCATTGAAATCTGAAGTCCATTTGTACGTCGGCATGCCAGTCTCAGTCTTGGACTAATGTTTGGCTGCTCATAGCCTTGTGATGTGCTGTTTTGACGAAGGTCATTCGGTGTGAAGCCTTTTTGTTGGGGTCTTGTATTCTTACCACACAACACAAACACACCCACACCCACATCCACAACCGAACCCCTTACTTGCTTGAGGGAGGGATGTCGTCGTCGCCCCCCTCCTGACCACCCCCGCCTCCTCCTCCCGCACGCTTGCCATCACCCCGGCCAGCAACTGCAGCACAGCATTACCCTCCATTGCACTGGCCACCGCGCCGATCTGACTGGCCACTTGCTGTGCGCCTTATGCACTGACCCTTGCAAGAGTCCCAGCTGCGTTTCCCAGACCATCGCATAGAGCGCGTGTGGAGTCCTCCATGGAGAACCGCATGCCGGACTTCGTGCTGATACCTTCATCCGCGGAAGTTTTCCCTTTCTCAATCCGGCGAGACTTCCTGCTGCTTTCCGAATCTTCCACTGGGGTGCTGGCGGAGGTTCCCTTGTCCGAACCCCCCGCTATCTCGACCAGGCAAGGTGGACGACTCCATCGTGTTGTCGCACATGGTTGACCTCTTCGCCTGCACCCACACCATCTCGTCCCACAATTCTTCCTCAAAAAGAAACGTTAATCCCTCCCTCTTCTTATCCTCTTGCGGCATGTCCCAGAATGTCGGCTTCCCAGACCCGCCGTACTTGTCCTTGATCTCCCTATATTTGTTTTGTAGGTCGACCCATTTCTTCCTCACGTCCTCCGCCAATCGGTGGTAGCCTTCCTCCTTCATGCGCCTCGCTCCCCAATCATTCCTCATTGATCTCCGCTGACGTTTCTGCCTCGGCTGGGCGGCGACCATCATAGCGTCGTCCTCTCGCATGTACCTCGCTAGGGCCAGCTGCTCTTCCAAAGACCAAGGCTGCTTCTTTTGTTTCCCTCCTTCGGTGTCGTCCTCGGCATAGCCATCGCCGACCGGGAATCGGGACATGTCCTCCTGTTGGCACGTGCCTTTCGCCCGACTGACCGCCCTCTCGTGATTGGGCCGATTTCGGGAGATCGGGATCGGTGGAGATTTGCATCAGTATCCTCGCCGTTTCATCCTTTTTCATCGTTTCTTTTTCGAATGGTCGGGCACGGGGTCAGGTGTGTCTTGGGACGGCTGGTTGATTGATTGGTCGGATGGTTGTCTGGCGCGACGCCACGCGCGCGCGCAATTAATAAATGTTGACGTCGTTTCTTTCGGTTCGATTTCGATCTTTTAGGCGAGGACATCGCGCGGGAAATTGCTTCGTTCTTTTTGAATTTCCTTTTAAATCTTTTTCGAATTTTGTCGAGCCCCCAATGGCTTTCGGAATTTTGGA